TATTTCCAATAATTCTTGCCTTCCCTCACATACAGTTATTACTCGACTGCCAGGGGTTCTTCCTTTACCTATCTAAACCTTGGTCTGATTTTTTTTCGCTTGCTCCAGTCTTTTATACCCCATTTAATTGCCCTTGGCAATATTCTATTCTGGTACTGTATACAAGTTCCTCATTCAGATAATATTATCACTTTTTTTGAGACTGACTCAATATACATTCTCTAACACCAGTCCTAAGGGGGGGGGGGGGGAAGAGTGTGAGTGGATGCAAGTATTATTAGAAATACATTTTCGATTTAAGAAAATGTTAACTTCCAAAGCACACTTATCTCCTCTCACACTACAGCTAGAATCCCACATTGAGAAGGTGGAGGGGCTGATGAGGGCATTATCCATACAGAAAGCATCTGTATATATCAAGCGTGTGTCAGTAGAAGATTGGCACCCTATTGGGGGAACCGCACTACATCCAGAACAGATATACTCTTCGCCCGTAACTTAATTCATGTACTGTGGGTGGAATTTTACATGATTTATCATCACTATTGGCCACGCCCCAACTAGATGGCCGAGGTTCCACTGATCGGGATTGGAATTATACGGCCATCGTCCCTATATCCCACATTGGTGGCTAGAGCAGTTCAACCACAATATATATATATATATATATACACACACACACATACACTTATGAGTGGATTCCTGCCTGTAGCCATAGAGTGATGCATTCTAAGCCATCAGAATCATGATGAAAAGGTAAGCAATACTGAAATGGATAAACCTTCTTTGCTACCTGAAGAAGTCTGAAAGGCAACACCTCAGGCTCAGAATGATGGGATATTGTATGCCTTAATCTGAGGAAACAGAACTCATCCGGGTAGGAGGGCACCCTGTTCTCCAAGAGTGGAGGAAATTCACTCTAATACTCTGGAGGAAAAGCCTCTGTTTAGCACCCTAGCGACTAGAAACTGGGTGTGGTAAGGACTATCTAGTTCCACTAGTAGAATCTGAGGGGTAATACGTGTTGAGGAGTTCTGAAGAACAGTGCAACAGTTGAACCAAGTTCCCTAAATTTTTAAAAGCAAACTGACCCCGATTTATTCAATCCAAGAATTGGCAGGGATGGACAGGATACCCTTTTGCTTTACTCATGATAGTCCATAAGTACTGGGAAAGCACAGTACAGTAATACCACCCAGTCAGCCTCTAGGTGGTCTTATGGTATGCCTCATTTCTACAGAGCCTGTTGCAACCTGTATAAAGTATATTGAACTAGTGGTTGCTAGTGTGTAATTGGTTTGATAGAAGCACATTTGCTTGGCTAACACTCGCCAAAGAGTGGAATACCCATTTGGTGTCAATGCTAGTCTGAATGTAAAAATCCTTAACTGCAGTACCTGACCCTTGTACACAAAAAAAGCAAATAGTGGAGGGATACCACCACTATGACAATGTGTAAGTAGGAGTCAATGACATCGAACTTGGACATCCACCATCCTTGTAAAAAAAATGGCAACTCAGAGTGAGGAATGAGCTGCTTGTGAACCTTGGAGAATCTAGGAATTGATATAGACGAGAAAAATCTATGACTGGAAACCAATCGCCTGTCTTCTTGGGCTTAGCAAACTAATGGGAATAAAACCCTGGAAGAACTGGCATGACTCTTTTTCTACCTCCAGACCAACCAAACTCTGACAGCCCTAGAACTAAGTTCTGAAATCCAAGAATCTGCAGAAGATGGAAACCCTACAGGTTGGGTGGATAATGGTGATGAAGATGTGAACTGAATGACTACTCCTGACTCAAGTACCAGTAGTGCATATGGATCCATTGTTAAGGTTTACTACACGTCGAGAAATTTTAGGAGTCGAGCCCCCACAGACCCTGAAGGCACACAATAATCACCTATGCTGCTGGCAGCATTTCAACTGAGCAGCAGAACCCTTAGATATGGACCAAGAGGCTGATGTCAGGGGCTGGGACCCTCGAATATAGGGGTGGAACTATGCCATCTTTTGGAGCTGATTAAAGTTGAAATGCCAATGACAACAGAATGATCGTAGAAGCTGACAATCAAACCAATTTGCATGCTAACAGTGGGTTGAGCTCATTATCAGTGGACTTGGTGATCTTGAGTCTTCCAACAAAGTTTAGTTTTAGGAAAACACATTGGACTTGGGAATTGCAAGACCATAGAACCTTTAATTTCAAGGAGCAGATGTATTCTTTAAGAGTCAAGATATACATGGTGGTGGTAGGCTAAATCACATAGTTTCGACAATTGTGACAGATAAGGTATAGCTGTCCCTTCATGTAACTGAGCAGTAAACCTCCCTTCATGAATCACAATGTTAGTGGATGGAGGGATAACTAAGTATTCACTCCCATACCTTTCAGCCATCAAGTAAGGGTGAAGGCTCAAAAGCAACTAGGGAAAACCCAAAACATCACACACTCAATGGACTGACTGAAGATAAAAGGAGCCTGAAGCGGCTTATCCCAAAATGGCCTCCTGGAAGTCAGCAGAATAAAAGAAGGTGCAGGAAAAAGCAAATTTAAATTCTCTCCAGAATGTCCAGGATTGCCGTCAGTTGCAGCCTCAGAGCCCCTAGGAGGAACATCACTGTACCGAATATATATCTCCATCTCACTTCAATGAGATTACAGAGAGTGACTCCTCCCCAATTGTTGAACAACACTAGATATCAGAGGTGGGATAGGAAAGACCTCATTTGCCTCCATGCCAGAAATAATCATACAGAAATTTGTGCTGTATATCGGTTTGTCAAATGAAAATCAACTAGGTAACACAAAGAACACTCAAATTATCTCTTAATGATCATAACATAGAGAAATCCTTTACTGAACACTTTGTTAAGTAAAAGTGAAAACATTATCTGAATGAAGTGCTTATATACAGTAAGAAGGCGTATTGATGTAGGTGGAGAGTGTCATGAGACAAATATCAGCAAGGGCAATTAAGTAGGGTATAAGAGACTATCAAGACGAAAAAAAAAAATTAGACCAATGCTTAAATGGGCAAAGGAATAAACCCTGGTAAGTATGTTTTGTAACAGGTATGCTCTTCACCAGGTAGTAGGAAATTAATCCAAAATGGGCAAAAAGTAAAATATTTGCACAAGCGTAATATGTTCTGAGAGTTGCAAGCTGTTGCAACATATAAACAGAATTAGCTAGGTACATTACCAACTTCAACCAGACAAAGTTCCATAACTTGTCCTCAGCATTAAGAGGTTGAGGATGAAAAAATCATAACAACAATATTGTGGCTAGGACATGTGGACCGTGTTATAAATATACCCATTAACCCCAACCATAGTGCCATATGCCAAGCAACCCTGAATTACGAAGAGGAAGTGAGCATTTGGTTGAAACTTGACAAACTCCCAAAACAACCATAGTTGCAAAAAGTACAAGAAACAAAACCCAGCATTACAGGGTCATGGCATTGCCTCAAATCCACCATAAGAAGAGTGTAATAGTTGTAACTGTATTATGGGCAAAATTTTAACTCACTCAACCATGAATGCAAGGAAGAGACATCCTGCATCCGGAGTTACGAGGAAGACATGGAACATTTGCCCAACCATAGGAACAGAGCATATACATCCTGTTGCTGGTATTACGATGCAACAGAAAAGCAGGGAAAGAACCTCTTTCAACTGGAATTAAAGAGAAGAGAGGCATCTATTGCACACAACCATAGGAACAGGGTGTTGTTTTTTTTATATCAGTGCCAGGTCGATAGCTTACGAATATATCAGGACACACCTACAATTTTGTGTGTAAAGTTCATAAGATTACAATTTTTGATGTATTCTAATAAATTTCAATGCTATCATGTATATGTGAGTGTGTGTGTGTGTGTGTGTGTGTGTGTGTGTGTGTATATATATATATATATAC